TTCCGCATACTTTGGTGTCTATGAGAATCAGAAATGTTCAATAAGGTCACCTATATTTCCCTTCAGAAGCTTTTATGGACATAATAAAACTTTCCTTGAGCAAATAACTTCCTAAATTGCCCAATCCAAAATGTCTTTTCCCACCGAGTTTAATGGGGCTTACTTCCTGGTAAATATGCTTAGGATAACTATCGACATGATAGACTGTTTGTGCCTGGCGACCAGACTTGCACTGGAAGTTTCCAGATTAAGTTTAGATTTTCAGGAACACAGGGCCTGATTCAGACTGGGACCACAGCATGTGGAGAATGGGGGGGGGCTTAAGTCTTGCCCCACACACGCACACCCACATACACACGGTCTTCCCCAAGCTGCAATAACCCCTTTTGCCCTGTTGGCCCCATTGGCAAGACCAGGGGTCATTTCCTGCAGGAGCGCACAGGAGCGGAGCTCCAGCAGTAAAGAGCCCAGGGGGCGGGCACATGCAACAAGCCCCACCCTCTGCTCCCAGCAGCCCTCAGTCAGAGCAAGAAGCAGCCAGTTAAGCTGCAGAGCTCCCCCCGGCCCCCCGGTCCAAAACAGTCCAGTAACACCTTTAAGACCACGTTTTATTCAGGTACAAGCTCTCCCTCCTCTGGGAGGACAGATCTGCACGTCCCCCGTCCAAAACAGTCCAGTGGAGCCTGAGCGGTGGGTGTTGCCTTCTGACACACTTCCGGTGATGTCAGGGGGTGCGGCATATGCAAATGAGTTATGCTAATGAGCTATACTAATGAGCTCCTGCACCTCTTTTTCTACGAAATGAGGCCATTGGCAAGACTAACTTGTGCTGACAGATTCCGTGTGAACCAATGGACTACAGCAGGGGTCCCAAACTGCCAACCAGGGCTGCCATTTGCCCGTGGGGGTGGGGGATCCCCTGATTTTATGGGCTCCTGCCCACTGCCAGCCAGCTGGCTGGCGGGAGGGAATCTGCCCCGAAACAGTGGCGTCACACTTGACGTGCCTGCATAACCTGGGACGTCGGCACATCAGCAACAATGAGGGGTGACACTCTGGCTTTGGGGCAAAACTTGATGGTTTGATGCCGATTTTACCATAGAGTTTTGCCCCAAACCCAGAGCATCGCCCCCAATCAGTGTTCCCTCTAAGCTGAGTTAGTGTGAGCTACCTCAGAGTTTTTTAGCCTCCGGCTCACACGTTTTTGCCTTCGATCAGGAAAGATGGCTCCAGAGCAAACTGATTTATGCAGCAGCCAAATCGCTCGCTCACAACGGTAATGCCAGTAGCTCACAAAGTAGAATTTTTGCTCACAAGACTCCACAGCTTAGAGGGAGCATTCTGGGTGATGCAGGCATATCACGTGCAAGTCACTGTTTCTGGGGGAATGGGGGGGGCGCGCGACATCACTTCCCACTCCTGGAACATCCTCCCACTGGTGGGCAAAAGGGACCTGGCTACCCTACTGCCAACACCTTTCCTGGTGCTTGCCAACTGTTTGTAGAAAGTGTGCTGGGTAGAGCTTTTACCCAGCAAAGCTTCTGATTGGCCACTGGAGATTTGATTGGCTGTGCAATTTTTTTAAAACGTTGCTTTGGCAGCAGCTGCCACCACAACACAAGGATCTTCAATGTGTGGCTGAAGGGAACCTGTGGCTGCCGTTTTGTGGCTGGGCTCCACCTTCCGCAGCAACCATTCTGTGGCTGTGTCCACCACACTGTGTCAGAATTCCATATGGCCCGCAGCCTCTAAAAGCTTGAGTACCCGTGGACCAGTGTTCCCGCTAAGCTGAGTTAGTGTGAGCTAGCTCACAGCTTTTTAGCCTCCAGCTCACACATTTTCTGTCTCGTCTCGGGAAGGGGTGGCTCCAGAGCAGACTAACGTATGCAGCAGCCAAACTGCGCTCACAACTTTAATGCCAGTAGCTCACAAAGTAGAAGTTGTGCTCACAAGACTCCACAGCTTAGAGGGAACATTGCCGTGGACTACAGGATACATGTTCATAATCATGTGTGGTATGGGGAAAGGGAACAGAAATACCCCTTTTCCCATAATACCAGAACTTGAAGCTACTGGGTGGTAGATTTAGGAAAGACAAAGGGAAATAGTTGCTCATCCAATACATAATTATGGAATTTGCTGCAACATGATGTAATTTTGGCTATTAATTTAGATCAGGGGTGTCAAACATAAGGCCCAGAGACCAGAACCAGCCTGTCCAGAGCACTTACCCAGCCCACAAGAGGAGAAGAAGAAGAAGAGATTGGATTTATATCCCGCCCTTCACTCAGTCTCAGAGTGGCTTACAGGCTCCTTTCCCTTCCCCTCCCCACAACAGACACCCTGTGAGGTAGGTGGGCCTGGGAGAGCTCTTGTCAGAACTATGGCTTGCCCAAGGTCCTCCAGCAGCTGCGAGTGGAGGAGTGGGGAATCAAACCCGATTCTCCCAGATTAGAGTCCGCACACTTAACCACGACACCAAACTGGCTCCTGGTATGTACGTTAGCAACTGGTATGTACAGCAATGTAAGGTACTCCCCTTTTATGGTATCCCTTGGGGAAAAACCTATCCTTACGTGTGATTAAATACATTTATTGGGGCTTTTGTGAGTTCCCAAGTAAATCAGTTGCTTTCGCTGCTAGGAATCAATTACTTTTGTTTGTATTTTGAATAAAAAATAATACCGTTACTTGGGGTCGCCTGTGTCCTTTATAAAGCTTATATCTCCGGTACCAGGTGTTACAGTTAATGGCACATATGGCTGGCCTAACAAAGTGACATTTATGTCAGATCTGGCCCTCATAAGAAATGAGTTTGACACCTCTCATTTAGATGGCTTCCGAAAGAGCTAAGACAAATTCATGGAGGATGGGCCGGAAGCAGTATATCTCTGAATGACAGTCGTTGGGGAGACAATGACAGGGGGAAATGTTGGCATCTATGCCCTTGTAGGCCTTTTGCAGGGGTTTCAAGTTGGCCACTGTGGATGCTGGACTAGATAGCTCACAGGACTGGTCCAGAAGAGCCCTTCACCGCATGCTCATTCTGAACGCAGTTGCCTGCTTCTGCCACGCACACACTACAACTCAGCACTTGTTGCTGTTATAAGACACATCTGGCACAGAAGCACGTAGGCAGCGAGAGCTCTGCCACTCGCAGGGTTTGGCCACATCCAGAAGCTTTATTGGTTCACTCTCTCCCTGTACCTCATGCCGCTTAAACAATCAGTGGCCGAGAAACAGTTGCGGTAATTGGGAGATGACTAAGCCTCGTAGCCACTGAGCAGACAGGTTGCTCTCCTGGGAAGGGTTCCCGTCGAGCGGCATGACTCAGAGCAAAGTTTAAAAGAGAGGGAGAGGAAAGGAGGTAGGTGTGGAAGGGAGTTTGACCTACTGTTGTGTGACTTCATTGCTGTTGTGATACAGATGTGATCCTACCACGGAGAGGAACACATATAGAGAGGATGGCGTGCAGTCGTTTTCTGTTGCCCCAGAAGGTCAGACGAGAACCGACGGGTTGAAATTAAATCAGAAGAGTTTTCGGCTAAATATTATGAAGGACTTCCTGACAGTTAGAGCGGTTCCTCAGTGGAACAGGCTTCCTCGGGAGGTGGTGGGCTCTCCGTTGGAGGTTTTCAAACAGAGGCTGGATAGCCATCTGACAGCCATGCGGATTCTGTGAACTTAGGCAGATCACAAGAAGGGAGGGCTGGAAGGCTTGCATCAGTGCTTAGTTCTCGTGGCCCTTTCTTACATGCCCAGGAAAATGCCGATCACCACTTTGGGGTCAGGAAGCAATTTTCCTCAGGTCAGTTCAGCCGGAAATCCTGGAGGTTTCTTGCCTCCTTCTGGGCATGGAGCAGGGGTCACTGGGTGTGTGTGGGGGGGAGGTATTTGTGAATTTCCTACATTGTGCAGGGGGGTTGGACTAAAGGACCTCGGCGGTCCCTTCCATGATTCTATGAGCTGCTGTACACCATGCCAGACCATCGGGCCATCATGCTCAGTGTAATCTATCTACTGTCACTAGCAGGATTTTTCCAAGGACTCCGGCCAAGGTCCTTCCTGACCACAATGAACTGAGATGGAGGCTGAAGCTGGGACATTCCGTGAAGGAGGTGCTTTGTGGCTCAGAACACACATGTGCGAGCCCCCCTGCAGCGCTGCAAGAGCACAACAGCACCATGCTTTAATCTCCTCTAGTGTGCATATGTTGTTGTGCCACAGAGTCATTTCCACCTCATGGCGACCCTCTGAATGAATGACCTCCAAAACGTCCTACCATTAACAGCTGTGCTTAGGTCTTGCAAACAGAGGGCCTTTGTGGCTTCCTTGGCCGAGTCCATCCATTTCACGTTGGGTCTTCCTCTTTTCCTGATGACCTCAACTTTTCCTAGCCGTATTGTCTCTTCCAGGGACTCTTTGTCTTCTCATAATGTGACCAAAGTACAATAGCCTTAGTTTCATCGCCTCTAGTACGGGGATGCCATTTGGATTTTTTTCTATTGCTCCATCCTCAGTCACCTGACCCCTGCTCAGTCCACAGGTTGTGAACCCTCTGGCCATCTGCAGCAGTGGAGCTGCAGGGGCCACTGTTCCCTCTAAGCTGAATTAGTGTGAGCTAGCTCACCTTTTTAAAGTCTCCGGCTCACACGTTTTTGTCTCAGCTCAGGAAGGAGGGCTCCAGAGGAAACTAATTTAGGCAGCAGCCCAGTTGCTCGCTCACCCCTTTAATGCCAGTAGCTCACAAAGTAGGATTTTTGCATACAAGACTACACAGCTTAGAGGGAGCATTATAGGCCAGCCAGCCAGTCTTCTAACTATCAACTAGTGAAGCACAGAGAATGCAACATCTCTACACCCTGTGGCTCAAGTCCCCCATGTGAGCTTCCTGGTGCTCTGCGCACAGACGAGGCAATTTGCTGGGCCGCAAACTGCATGATAAGAGCACACAGCAGGAAACTCGCTAGAGGGATGGAGGAAAACAGAAGCGTCCGTACCTGTAATTCGGAAAGCGTGGACCTCCTCCTCGGTCCCCTTTAGGTTTTCGATCTCATTCAACTGGAGCTCTTTCAAAGGCAGCAGGCCCTGCAGGAGCACAACACAGCTTGTTTACTTCATTTTATTTGCAGTCTTATTGTACATCAGGCCAATTTCCATTGCCAGACTCTTCCATTTGAACGATATGCACGTATCTGAGCAGATTTCAGCTGTTATGAGTCTAAGGCCTCGTTTGTTTCCGCAGCAGAGGAAGGGATGAAACTGTTCCTGGGTGCAATGTGTCCAGGGCTTTTTCTCTGGGAGAACGTACCAGAACAGAATTCTGGAACTTCTTTGACAAAATTCTTTTTTTAAGGTTTAAAAGTGAATGAGTTTTTAGTATGCAGATCGAAAATTCCATTTCCCTCTTGAGAGTTCTGGCACCTCTTTTTCCAGAAAATAAGCCCTGTACGTATCACACTGTAAATGGGGGTTCTTGTGAGTCATCAACAGGAGGGAGGTCCCTCCTACATTTAGGAAGAACATAGCACGGCAGTAGAAGGACTAGGTTAGAAAGCCAGTGTGCTACAGCGGTTCATGAGCACACCTGAAGCTGCCTTCAACTGACTCAGACCACCGGTACATCAAGAGTTGTATACTCAGACTGGCAGTGGCTCTCCAGGGTCTCAGGCGGAGGTCTTTCCCATCACCTGCTACCTGACCCTTAACTGGAGATACCAGAGATTGAACCTGGGAATCTTGTGTGTGCAAAACAGAGGCTCTTCCACTGACACCTCGCCAAATCAGGGAGACTTCCGCTCAAATTCCCAAGCACCTTGAAGTTCCCTGCATGACCTCAGGTTAGTCACTGTCTCTGTCACCCTCATCCTGACCTTCGTCACAAGGTTGTTGTGAGGATAAAAGGGAGGAATGAAGAACTGTATGGAGGCCTCAGCTCCTCAGTGGGAGGACACACGCCCACTAGCTACAGTCAGAAGTGGTAAAATCCAGGTACAGCTTTACGACTTCAAATGCTGCTTATGTGAATTAGGTCTGACTCCCTAGCATTTCCATAAATCCAAAAGTGGAATTAAGCTCACACAGGTAACCGGGCCCTGAATCATACAAGTCAGAGAGCTGGTGCTTCTACAGTGATTTAATTATCTGGCTTTCGCCCAGACAAAATCGGCATCTGTCGTGCCCTTGGCTTTCTAAGGAATTTATTATTCATTGGAAGATATTGGCAGTTTCCTCAGCTTGAAGCCAGGACTGCCTGCCCACTGGCAAGTAATCTTTCACTCGATTGGCGTGTTCGTTTGCTTTTAGACTTAGGCAGCCAATCGGGCTTCTGAGATTCTGGCTTCTGTTACCTGATAGGTGAGTCCGTTCGGACCGAGGGACTGAAAATAGAGGTAGGCCTGGAAAAGTTCTAAGTAGCAGTCATTCACATCCTGTGAAAGGAAGAACACAAACAGTTATTGTTGTGGAGCAACGCATGAGTTAGGCTTTTAGATCGCCCTTCCATGGCTATGTGGTTTCATCAATCAGCCACCCCCCAGAGACAGCTGTTCCTTCCATGTCTTACAACATTGCTGGAAAAAGGAGGGGCTGTTGTCCATCAGGGAAACCTCCCATGGCAAGGGAAGTTAAATCCCTTATTTTCCCTTGCTCGAAAGCTAGTCGATTCTGACTCTAGGGGGTGGTGCTCATCTCCGTTTCCAAGCCGAAGAGCCAGCGCTGTCCGAAGACTTCTCCATAGTCATGTGGCCAGCATGACTAAACGCTGAGGTACACAGAACGCTGTTACCTTCCCACAAAAGTGGCACTTATTTATCTACTTGCCATTCCTTGCTTTCAAAGTGCTAGGCTGGCAGGAGCTGGGGCCAGAGACGGGAGCTCACTCCGTCACACAGCACTAGGGTCTCAAACTGCCGAGCTACCGACTTTCCGGTCTGCAATTCAGCGTCTTAACCTCTGAGTCACACCCTCAAACTGCACCAAAAAAAACCCTGCATCAGACCTTTGCATGGTTTCTGTTTGTATGCCCAAAATGTGGGACGATTCAGTCGCTTACATCCAAACTTCTGGTTTGTCTTGACTCTTTGCTTTCTCCTCCTTGCCTCCCAAAAAGGATATCTGACATTTCCCATCCTTCCACGGAACTCACCTGACAGTGCTGAAACTTAAATTTGACCTTCGAGTAATAGATAATCTTCCCCAGGTTCCGCACCACAGTCTTCCTCCGGCCCTTCTTGAAAAGGGCGGGGAAACGCTGGTCAAAGTTTTCTTTCCCATTTTCCTGGCTCGTGAGGTTCTATAAGAAAGACAGAAGAGGGATGTGATTGAAATATGGATATATAGAAAACGGATCGTTGTAGCTGAAGGATGAACCCACAGATAACTGAAAGTTGATTGTCAGCAGAGGTCGATTTGGGGGGGATCGCGGGGGATCACAGTTCCCCCGGGTGAGGTGCGGGGAGGCGGGGCACATGACAAAGCCCCGCCCCCTGCTTTCGGCCCTCATTCAGACAGGAGGAGGCAGGAGAAGAGGGAGGGTAAGTTGCTTCCTCTCCGCCTCTCCCCACCCCTGCCTGCCTGGGGCCAGGGAGGGCCTTGGCGGGGCTTCCTTGCACTCCCGCTGGCCTTGGAGGTCCACCGCCGGGCCACTCATGGGGCTCGGCAGTGGAGCTGCAAGGCCGCCGCTGGCAGCCAGGACCGTTGGGGGCGGGGCCCTTCGCGGGGCTTCCTCGCACTCCCGCCGGCCTTGCAGGTCCACCGCCGGGCCTTATGACACACTTCCGGTGATGGCAAAAGGTGTGGCCTTATGACACATTTCCGGTGATGTCAGGGGGTGTGGCATATGCTAATGAGTTATGCTGAGTTCCCCTAGCTCTTTTTCTCCTAAACGACCCCTGGTTGTCAGTAACGTACGCCTCCATTCTAATGCCATTACTCCCTGTCATTTTGGCTAGAACCTGACCCTGCTGCCTTTGCCAGATCTAGAACGGTTGGTTTGCTGCATTTTTAGAGGTCGGGAGGGCCGGAGGAGGTGCAGGTGTGTCTGTTTCTTGTTTCTGGGGAGGGAGAGAGGGAGGAGGTGGTGACTTTGCTGAACTTTTTAATGCCAGTACCAAAAGGTTTTGAAAAGGAGGTTTAGATGGCCATCTGACAGCAATGCTGATTCTGTGAATTTAGGCAGATCGTGAGAGGGAGGGCAGGAAGGGTTGCATGAGGGCTTAGTTCTCGTGGCCCTTTCCTACACGCCCAGGGAAATGCAGATTGCCACTTTGGGGTCAGGCAACAATTTTTCTCCAGGCCCGTTTGGCCGGGGATCCTGGAGGAGTGGTTTGTCATCTTCTGGGCATGGAGCAGGGGTCACTGGGTGTGTGTGAGGCGGAAGGTATTTATGCATTTCCTGCATTGTGCAGGGTGTTAGACTAGATGGCCCCAGAGGACCCTTTCAACTCTATGATTCTATGATTCTGCTCAGACTGGCAGCAGCTCTCCAGGGTCTCAGGCAGAGGCCTTTCACATCACCTCCTGCCTGATCCCTCCTTTTTCACTGGAGATGCTGGGGACTGAACCTGGGACCTTCTGCATACCAAGCAGATGCTCTACCACTGAGCCATGGTGTGCCAGAATTGGGTTCTGTAATTAATAGGCTGTGTGCAGACCTTTTTTTTTTTTTTTTTTTTTTTTTGTATTTCTGTGAGAAAATGTACTGAAGCAGTACTCTGAGTGCTCACCTGCACTCACCCAATTCTCCTCCGTAACCTTCTCTGGTTATTCTAGTTTATCACAATCTTCATTTTCCTTTCTAATCCTGCTTTGGAGTTCTGTCAAATTAAAAGCAACCGAGTCCCAAACTTCGGGGTGTGCATGATTTCATTCCCTTCTGTTTGAACCTGTACCAGAGTCCAGTTCACACGGAAAATGAAGTTTACAGACATCACCCAAAGCATATGGAGGAGGAGGAGGAGGAGAAGGAGAAGACAAAGAAGACGACGACGAAGATGACAACGATGGCAAAGACAACAGCAAAGATGACGAAGATGACAGAAGATGAAGAAGAGTTGGTTTTATATCCTGCCCTTCACTACCCAATGGAGTCTCAGAGCGGCTTACAATCTCCTTCCCCTTCCCCTCCCAACAACAGACACCCTGTGAGGTAGGTGGGGCTGAGAGCTTTGAGAGAACTACTCTTGAGAGAACAGCTCTGAGAGAACTGTGACTGACCCAAGGTCACCCAGCTGGCTGCATGCAGAGGAGTGGGGAATCAAACCCGGTTCTCCCATGTTAGAGTCTGCCACTCTTAACTGTGACTACACCAGAGACATAAGCGAAAGATTCACAATCAAGCAGTGTTTTATGGATCCAGCCGGGGAAACTATTCAAAGATAACAAGCACTGGGAACTGCGAAGCTAGAGCCTGTCCTCAACCATTAGATTTTGCCAGGCTTTCTCTCCACCATAACTTATCAAGTCCTTCCTGGTTTGACCTGTGATCTACCAGATCCTGGATTAGCTCTGCATAAGACCCACCAGATTCTATTCTGATTCCAACCATAACATAAATTGAATAAAATAAATAATAAATAAATAAATAACCCACCCAGCCTCGCTCTTGACTCTAATTACAACCTGCCAGGTTCAACGGCAGCTTTGCATCAGGCCGGTCAACTTCTGCCCTGACTTCACCCATGACCCCACCAGCCTGGCTGCATTCCCAAACCTTCAGATTTCTCTCCTGGACTAGCTTGTCCCCCCCCCCCCCCTGCACTCCCTGAGTTGACTGGGGAGTGGGAAGAAGAAGCAATAGTTTTTGCAATCAAAGCCGGCAACCCGAATCAGCAGAGACGCTCGCTGTTTAGGCAAAGTCAGACGGGAGGAGTGTTTGTTGCCGGGTCTCCATGCCAGCCTGGGGGTGTTACTGGCATGCGGACTGTTTGCTTACAGCCCTGGAGAGAAGCCGGGTGAGGGGGCTTAAAAAGAAGCTAAAATTAATCTCCTGTACAAGCAGCACGAAGATTAACCCAGCTAAGTGGTCTGAAAAGGCGCTAATTGAGTTTGACCCACACGAGAGGTTGCCAGACCTGGGCAAAAAAACAAGGTCTCAATTTAGGCCGATGGGTGTCGTGTACATTCCCCCAGCTGCTTTCCAAAGAAGAGCTCTGCACAGCTTGGACATAGAAGGTCTCTTTCCATCCAGTTCTTTATATGTATTTAGCCTTACAGTCACACCTTATTTGCTATGGTGTCTATTATATACTGGCCTTTGAGGCAGCTTTCTCAAAAGCGATTTCTCAGAACACAACAACACACACACAGAACAATCCCAATTTATATACAATTTGGAACTAGCTAAACCACACCCCTAGAATACTAAGGTCCAATCAAGAGTGAGCGCTAAAGACCAATAGGGTTTGTTCCCGCCGAAAGTCATAGTCTTTCTTAATTGGTCCGTTCCACAACATCAGCCAATCAGGTTGTTGATTTTAGGATATTGGGAGTCTATGAAGCTTGTGACTGAAGCTCAGGTTCATTCTCCATTCAGGCTATCTACATAAGGTAATACATAACAGTGTCTCAGCACAGGGACCAGACATTGTCAGTTAGCAGAGATTGGAAGCAGACAATTGCCTTTCCAATAAAGTAAGTTGAAAGCCATGTATAAGAACTATTGTACACACTTCTTTCTAATGCTTCACTGTCATTTTTTTTTTTGCCAAATAGGTGTGGCAGGTTGTGGGAGCCGCATGAGAAACCTGCAAGACCTGTTTATCAGAGACAGATCACGGGACAAATGGTACAACATAAAGCAATGATGTGGCTTATTATATTAACTTCAGCTGTCAATTCTCTCCAGCCAGGGAGCAATTGCAGGATCTTCTCCCTTGTCAAACCTTGGAGGGCCTGTGCTGAAGGAGATAGGAAAAGATTCACGGCTACCTAAACGTATGCAACTCAAGTGTCAGAAAGGGAAAAGTTCACACATCGCCTGAAGCTGAACGTTAGGCTCCAATCGGAGGCCCACAGCACGATCCAGGAGGGCAGAAGTTAGCCGGTCATATCTCTGCCTAATCCGTATGGGCCTGCTTTCTAGCAGCCGGTGCCAGGGAGACAGCTGCTGCAAAGTCGGGCCCTTGATAAATGGAAGGATCAGCAGTTAATAGCCAGCCCGACACTGCTCCCGAGTGCTCTTTCGTTACCTCACCTCTCCGGTATGGGCTTCACCTCCTACATCACCCACTTTAGCAGCCATCATCAGCAAGAGAGGAACTGGTTAACTGGTGACAAGGTGTTAATTGTTTGTGAGCCCCTTTTATCTTGTGTTCCCTTGGCTTTGCTGGGCCTAATTGGATTTAAAAAAACAACAACCCTCAGCGGCACCTATAGACAGATAACACCATTTGGAAGAGGCTCCAGTGGTCTGGCAAGGAGAAAAACACCGTCTTCAGATTTGTTCAGAATGCAGTGTTACGTTCGTGACTTTTTAAATTCTCAGAACGTTTTCTGTCAATGTTAAAGAGCTTGGCCTGGGCTCACTCAGTCTCATCAGACCTTGGAAACTAAACAGGATCCGCTTTGATTAGTACTTGAATGGGAGACGCCCAAGAAAGTCTTGGGTTGCTACGCAGGCACTGGCAAACCACCCCTGAATGTCTTTTGCCTTGAAAACTCTATGGCAGGGGTGTTCAGCATAAGGCCCGGGGGCCGGCACCGACCCGCACAGGGCTCTTATGCAGCTCGCAAGCAACTGATGCAAGGGAGGGAGTGCTGGGGGGGGGTGTAGTCTGCAGCCGTCAAGCATCGTGAGAGCATCTGTCCAGCGCTGCACTGCTGCCTCTCCAGTCCGTCCATGTGAGTTTTCCTCTGCACCCCACACCCAGCCCATGGGGCCTTGCAGTGAGGATACATGGAGCTTACCAGCTGTTGTCCTTTATACAGTTTATATCTCCGATACCTGGAATTATGTTTTATGGCACACATGGCCCGGCCCTGCAAAGTGACATTTATGTCTGATCTGGCCCTCATGAGTTTGACACCTCTACTCTATAGGGTTGGCTGCAACTCCCCCCTCCCCCCCAAGATGGCTTTTGAGCATCATCTCATAGAACAGGTTTACAAGATTATGCATGGGATTGGGCAGGTAGAGAAAGAAGTACTTTTCTCCCTTTCTCACAATACAAGAACTCGTGGGCACTCCATGAAATTGCTGAGCAGTCGGGTTAGAACGGATAAAAGGAAGTACTTCTTCACCCAAAGAGTGATTCACACATGGAATTCACTGCCACAGGAGGTGGTGGCGGCTAC